GTTTCCTCCATGGTACTCTATCAAAGTCACCCCTCAGTTTCCCATACATACTCTTAATAGAGAAGCTGCTTGTCCCCTCTACATCCTCCTCTGTATAACCAGCTCCCTCAAAGTATTATTTGGCTTTAAGTATCTTCTGTACTATCCAAGAGGCTTGTTTTGGTACAATAATCCACAATGTATTCTGTTTCTTATAATACACATGTATCCATTGCACCCATAACCTATCTTTCTTCTTGCATAGGTTCGAAAGGAGTTTACATATGGCTGCCTTATTCCATTCCTCTATAGCCAGTAGATTTAAACCACCAGCTGCTTTAGGTTTGCACAAACTGCTTTAGATTTATTACACATTGTTATTTATACCATGAAATAATAAAGGCTTAAATATTGGAAGCTTTTATTGCTGTTGAGTGTTGATTTGACTTGCGAGTGGGTTATGCGCCATCATGACCTTTGATGGAATTTCGTATCACGACCCAAATCCCACCAAGTCGTGATGGCACCTAACCCAACCGTTAAGGTAAACCAAATAGTATAAGTTACAACTATAATGAGAAATTATCAATATTAATAATAAATACTACAAGGAATTCACAACTACCCCAGGATTGGTAGTACAAGTCATGAGGCACTATGATTTTGATTTATTAAATTGATGTGAAGAATAAATACAATATATGTTTGAAGTTTACATAAACAGAAATGAAGTCCTTAACTACCACGAGCAAGAGGTAACTTGAATTTGCAATGCTGGTATAGTCAATGAAAGGCTCCGTCTTCCACAAATACTCAGCTCTAAAATCTGCACGCAAGGTGCAGAAATATAGAATGAGTACAACCAACCCATGTAATAAGTAAATATCTTGACTAACCTCAGTGAAGTAGTGATGGGGTTTTTAAGTAAAAAAATACTCACTTTGCATAACCTGTGCAGCCCAATAACAATATAATATAGAGAAATATTTCAAAAAAAATAATTACAGAATAAAGGATATCAGCAATAAAGGTGCACAACCTAGGGTAGGGATAACAAACAAACTCTCCCAATTAAACAATTCAAGCAAATACAACTTGTACTAGCCCCTATTGCAAGGAGACATGCACGAAATAATGTGTATGCTCAATTACTCATACATGACTGTAAGACTGTGCCCAATATGATGCAAATCTGTATTAATTTCCAAATAACACGTTCAGGAGAACCTTAAGAATCCAATACATTAACGCATGATGACAACTTTCCTTTTTATATCAATCTAATACGCTTCCGACAACTCAACAAATATAAGAAATTATCCCAACACAGGTAAATTCATCTTGACAACCAAACCGTCAAATAATAACAAAGTCATAGGAAAGCATGTTAGATGCAACAAAGACAACATGTATAATGCATGATAAAGCATAAAGAATACACTTGCATAATCAAGAATGACACCCCCCATAATCCACATTTCATCACAATAATAATTTCCACTCTTATCGCTCTGTAATAACAATATCTACCCTTATCGCTCTATAATAACAATATTTACCCTTATCACTCTGTAATAAAAATATCCGTCCTTATCCTTATATAGCAACAATATTCACCATTATCGCTTCGTAGTAACAATATCAATCACAATCGCACAACAAAACATCGTGCCAACACCCAATCAATCCGCCCAATATGTTTAAGTGTTCTATAATCATAATAATTCAAGATAACAAATTATCATCAAGAGACATATCCTCACAATTCATCAATGAAGTACATAAGGACATGAAAATAATAAAGTGTGGATGTGTGCTCAAGATATAAGACATGACTATAGCTAATTCAATTAGCAATGATTCCACAAATGCATATCATGCATAATTAGGAAAATAAAAACCCCAAAACATGACCTCTAGCATGAAAGGATAAACCCGCATTATCATACAAAGGATCACATATATATTATAGAGAGCACACATTCAATTCAAAGCACAACAAAAGAGCGATAAGTACGTGTATGTGTTCATAACATACATGTGACTACGCCGAGGAATGTATATCATCAATCTCAAGATTAGTTCATCATGTTCAAAATAAGGCACCAATAGCCTTAACATTAGCTCTAACAAGGTTTATTGTGCTCACATAGTTAATTAATTGAATAACACAGGGAACCAAGTAGAACATATAATCCATAAAGGCATAGAGTTATCTAGAATTCACCTCGAGCATGAATACCCATGGTACATGTATATATGCTCATCACCTTGTATATACATTAGCTCTGCATGTAACAAACAATATAAATTATTAGGAAAATTACCTCAATCAAAGCTAGGTAAGAGACTTATCTCATTCGGGCTAGTCCAAAGCTCCAAAAGTGTTTTCCCTTGAGAAATCAACTCTAACCGGCTCAAATCTAGCCAAACATGTAATACCCTATATTTAAATTAGGGCATATTAATCATTTAATATTTTTTTTAAAAACTATATAGTTACAAAGAGAATGGGCTAAAGCCCACTATGAAAGATTAAACAAGAAAGGAAGAGTGGGTTAAGAAGGGGGGAAATGCACCCAAAAGCTTCTTCCGCAACTAAACATAGTATCAAGATTTAAACCCATCACAGAGTATCAAGAAGCTTTGAAGCTTCAGTTAATTGTGGTAAGTCTCTCAGCTAAAGAGGGGTAAGTACTCTACGGTTTTGTTTCTCTTGTTCTCTGATTTATGGAATTCCATAGGGTACTGGAAAAAAGAATATTATAGGCAGTGGTTCGATTTGCTTTAGACTTGTGCACAAATTGAGTATAATGTGGTGTTAAGAATCAGATGAATATATTATATGAAAGGGTAGAGACAAGAAGAGGAAATTAAGATGTTTTTATATAGCACAATCATGAATGTCCTATTAGATTGAGTAAAGATTCTATTAGTATATGCCAAACACTAATGTACTAGTTAGCGGTACTTGTAAAGTACTACGTGAGGACAAGAGTACTGCCTTTGTGCCAACCAAATGAAATTTCTCTTGCCCTCTTTCCTATAGAGTCCGGAACCCATTTGTGGTTCTTTTGGACAAGTGTGACATAAATGTGTGTAAAAAAAAAAGAGTGATTCTATGTATAAAAGAGCGCTATATATGTATAACGTATTAAAGAACTGTGCTATGCTGGGCTGATATGACAGCTATGTATAGCGCTGTATATAACCGCGCTATATAAGTATAGTACAGTTATATATCGCGCTATACATAGATAAATAGGGCCCCTTCTTCTTCCCCACGATCATCGAACCAAACAAGCCCTATTTTTAAACAAAACAGAACTGTCCCCCCCCCCCCCTCCCCCCCAAAATTTCATCTTAAAAAAATTATAGTGGACCCCACCCGTCACACAAAAAGATAAGATTGTAGGTCCCATATCCTAGCCAAGCCTTCTATTGTTGTGGTTTCCTCGTTTCAAGCTCAAATTTTCAATTCATCGACTTTCCAAAAAATCATAAATCGAGGTATTCCGATTTAGTTTATGTCGAAACTCGTATAATAATATATATTAGTTGTTTTGAATGTGTTTTCATGTTGTTTTGTATTTTTTTTTGCGATTAAATTAGTATGTTATTTTTATCCGGACTAAGATATTATGTTCTAAGAAAGTATGTAAAAATTGAGAAATCATTATTTTTTGTTAATAAAAATGTTATTAATAAATTTTTTTTTACTATTTTATATGTATTTTCGTGAATGTTTTGTGATTAAAATGTATTTGTTGTTTTAATCTAGTTTAGATTATTTATTTGCTTAACGACTAGTGCCCTTTTAACATAGTAAAATGTAGAGCCTTTTAGCGTAGTAAAATATAGAGCCTTTTAGCGTAGAATCCTTGTAGTTTAAGTATCTCTTATACTGATAGATCAAACACAAACTCTGTACAACTTACAAAAATTAATTATTTAATTTATAAAACAAACATCTATGAAAATATTAAAATTAACACACATAAGAATTCAGGATAGCTTGGTGCTACTGGGCCTCAAATATCGAGCCTGGAACCCATAGGTATATACTCTGTCCAATTAAATATGATAAAATTACTTATTTAATTTACAAATCAAACATATAAAATTATGAAAATATTATAATTGACACATACAAGAAATCAGGATAGCTTGGTGCTACTGGACCTCATATATCGAGCCTGGAACTCATGGGTATATACTCTGTCCAATTAAATATGATAAAAATTAATTACTTAATTTACAGATCAAACATACAAAATTACGATAATATTAAAATTGACACATACAAGAAATCAAAATAGCTTGGTGCTACTGGGCCTCAAATATCAAGCCTGGAACCCATAGGTATATACTCTGTCCAATTAAATATTGTATAATTATAAAAAATAATTATTTAATTTACAGATCAAACATACAAAATTACGAAAATAAAATTGACACAAAGAAATCAGGATAACTTGGTGCTACTGGGCCTCAAATATCGAGCCTGGAACACATAGGTATATAATCTGTCGAATTAAATATTGTATAATTATAAAAAATAATTATTTAATTTACAGATCAAAGATAGAAAATTACAAAAATAATAAATTGACACAAAGAAATCAGGATAGCTTGGTGCTACTGGGCCTCAAATATCAAGCCTGGAACCCATAGGTATATACTCTGTCCAATTAAATATGGTATAATTATAAAAAATAATTATTTAATTTACAGATCAAACATACAAAATTACGAAAATAATTAAATTGACACATACAAGAAATCAGGATAGTTTGGTGCTATTGGGCCTCAAATATCGAGCCTGGAACCCATAGATATGGAACCCATAGATATATACTCTGTCTAATTAAATATTGTATAATTGTAAAAAAATAATTATTTAATTTACAGATCAAACATACAATTAATATTGTTTAATTTACAGTAGACGACATGGACGCGCCGCCTATGCATCCCGGACCTGTCTCCGATGAGCTATTAGTGTTACAAGGCAATCACAGGTCCGCCTACGTATGGGAGGGAGAGCTACTAGCCCAGACTCTCCGCGCCAGGAGAGTGGACGACGTGTGAGATTTTATCAAGGACAGAGTTCTCCATCCTCGTGTAGTCCAGCGCCTGCGGGATACGAGCTTCTACAGGATTTTTGAGATCGGGCGGCTACAGCTCGACTGGTCTTTGATCACGGCCCTGATAGAGCGGTGGCGACCGGAGACGTTCACTTTTTACCTGCCCATTGGCGAGGCCACTATCACGCTACAGGACGTGGAGGTTTAATATGGGATGCCTATTGATTGACTACCCGTTGCACTGCCTTCGGCTATAAGAGAGATGACGGGTGGGATGTATTTGAACATGCTGCAGCAGCTCACTTGTTTCAGGCCACAGGATGAGACTCCACACTCAAGGACCAGTCGTATGAATTTGACAGCTATTAGACGGCATTTGGAGATATTGCACCCCGACATCACCGGTGAGACAGATGATATACATATTCACCGGTATACGAGGTTGCTGCTGCTCCTTCTGTTTGGGGGGTCTTGTTCCCGAATACTTCGGGGAACCTAGTCAGCTTGCGATTTCTTCATCATCTTCAACTGCTAGATGATTTACCCCACTACAGCTAGGGTGCTGCTGTTCTCGCCTACATATACAGGCATCTGTGCCGAGAGAGCATGGGCACCCAGCATGTCGTATGTGGATTTTCGCCGCTTCTACAGGTGACAACATATTCGAATACTCTGTTCATTCCTTCCAATTCTATCTAGTCAAAATTTATCTTAATCTTTACGTCAACTTTATATGCTAGGTTTGGGCCTGGGAGCGGTTCCTGCAGTTGCAGCCACCTCTACCACCATTACCTCCGGATGTACCACCTCCGTTTCTCCCTCTAGCTAGGAGGTGGGTTCTCCGGCGTGGATATGTACGAGATTACGATGCTCGTCATATTCTCCCCCTTTGCAGGGATGTGTTGGATATGTTGGAGGGCGCACGGGTAAATGTGTACCTAAACTTACTTGGTATAGATTCACATGTGCTGCGCATACTCACGTTTTCTTTTGTTGTTTGATAGTTCATCTGGTCGCCATACAGCTACGACTTGATAGGTGGCCTGCCGACTATTGCTTGGCCGGCCAACTGATTTAGAGCACTTCCATCCCACTGATATGCCTCGATATTGTGGAGCATCTTGCCACGGAGCGGGTACTTTGCCATTTTGGCCGTCCGCAGTATATACCGTGGGGGCCTTCATGGGAGGCTACACATTATCAGCGGGATGATCGTTCCATGGTGGACGACGCATTTGTAGCATGGCTAGAGGCGCATGTCTATACTTGGGCCTGCTGACTATTGCTTGGCCGGCCAACTGATTTGGAGCACTTCCATCCCACTGATATGCCTCGATATTGTGGAGCATCTTGCCACGGAGCGGGTACTTTGCCATTTTGGCCGTCCGCAGTATATACCGTGGGGGCCTTCATGGGAGGCTACACATTATCAGCGGGATGATCGTTCCATGGTGGACGACACATTTGTAGCATGGCTAGAGGCGTAGGTCTATACTTGGGACTAGCGAGCTGACCCGATTCCGCCCCCTTTCACAGATCCAGACGGAGACTATTCATCTCTATATGCCCTAGTACCACCACGTTACCCGACTTTTTGTCAGGAATCTCATTCATCAAGCTGGCGGTCGGTACGTTCCATACGCCGGGCGACACAAGGCCCTGGTATGTTTTCTGTTATTATTAATTATATAAATGTAACTTAGTGCAATATCTATAGTTTATATTTTATACGTTGTGCATGCTATTGGCCTACATATAGTCTGCCAGATGGGACTGCAGATGCAGTAGCATTCCTGCGAGGGAACAACCGCTTTGCACGATTACGGCCGGCAGCTTTCAGAGGTGGCTGCTCAGACACTACAGCGAGCTCGAGAGGATCAGCGCTTCTGACTGTCACACCTCCTTTTTACACCCCCGGAAGGGTATAAGGGAGTTTGTCCAATTAAAGTCACAATCGAAACGAGATTATTATTTATCGTTTAGAGACGCCACTAGGGATAATTTATGGTGTCCCAAGTCACCGGTTTAAAATCCCGAATCGAGGAAGGGTTTGACTCTGTTTATGATCTGCGAACACAGAAATCCGAGTAAGGAATTCTGTTAACCCTGGAGAAGGTGTTAGGCACTCCCGAGTTCCGTGGTTCTAGCACGGTCGCTTTGATCATACTTGGCTTGACTAAATTGCTTGATTACTGGTTTTACAGCCTATGTGCATTTGCCGCTTTTAATTAGGAAATTATCTTGAGACGGGTCACGCGTACGTGTACCCATTTGTCTAGGGCGTCGAAAATCATGTCACGCGAACGTGTCCATAATTAATAATGCTTTATTATTTAGGAAAAAGCTTGGCCAAAGTTGCGCGAACGCATACCTTGATTTATTTTTAAAAATCGTAATCATATCACGCGAATGTGTACACAATCACGATAGTAGATTCAAGACGCGTCTAAAGGTTCGCCTACCCGAGCTAAACATGCTACTAGCGATCAAATTACTAAAGGGACAAAAGTGCAGCAATCTTTTTCGTTGGCCTTTAAATATGTTAAACTACCCAACGACCCATTTATTTGCTCTTGCTAATCTAATTTCACTGAACAATTGTTAATTCATAAAATAACAAGCAACTCAATATTTTTAGAGATTTTAAACTAATTTCAAACAAAACAAAGTAAACTAACCAAACTAGCAGACTAATTAACAGAACAAATTATAGCTTATCCAACAACATTAAACAAGGAAACTCACTCAAAATGTTCAAACAACTATGTAAAGGGAAATGAGATAGACCTCTATTACTGTAATTTGCTCTCAATTCAATAAAACGGACCTCTAGTAGTGATGGTCGCGAGCAGCTACAATTGTTCAGATGGTATTAAACAGAACCCGACTTGTCAAACCAAACTTGACCACGAACAAAGCCGCCAATCGGAACCTTGACAGCAAAATCGGACCTCTGTCTTGCTCAGATAACTGTTTTCATGGTTGATCCACTACTGATGTTGTGGTGTGTTCATGGTGATATTTGAAGAACAGTGAAGGGATGGCGATGGTATCCAGGTTTTGGCGAAGAAGGAAAACTATGAAGATTTTTGGCGTGAAGCTAACGATGGGAAGATAATGGAGCTATGGAGGAAAAGAAAATCAAAGAAGAAGAAACCCTGCTTTTTCCCCACTGTTTCGTTCATCTCTTTTCTTTTGGAACTTGAAACTCGCCCCTTCAACTGCTTCAATTTCACATCAGTTCTCTTCTCTTTTGATATTGAAGGTGAAGGCTGCGATGGGTGGTGTTGAAGGGGTTGCCGGCGTTAGAGATGGAGCTCTTGGAGTCGTCGATGGCGGCTGTGTAATGAAGAAGGGAGGAGTGGTGTTAGGGTCCTAGAGTTTTAAGTCTATCCCATTTTTTTGGATTTGATTTTAGGAAGGAGAAGGTCTTTTTGGTTAGAAGGGGTCACGGCTCCAGCTTCTTTTGGAGAAGAAGATAGGTTTTTATGTGTATCATGGATGGAAAACGGCTGATTGTAGAGTGTCTAGGAGGGTGTTTGGCTAAGCTTATAAGCTGGTTAAACTGGCTTATAAGCACTTTTTGGCTTATTTACGCGTTTGGTAAAATTAAAAGTGCTTATAAGTTTAGTGTTTATAAGCCAAAAATAAGCCAAAAGTCATAAGTTGGTCTCCCCCAACTTATCAAATTTCAGCTTATAAGCACTTTAGGTTTGACCAAAATATTTACTATTCTATCCCTAAAATACTTCTTTTTAAAACAAAACTCTTCGTATACCCAGTTCTTCAGCTGCTTATTATTAATTTCAGCACTTTTATCCAAACACGTAACTGCTTATCTTTTAAATCAGTTTCAGCAGTTAAAAGTTCTTTTCAACATCTAATGCTTATCAGCTACTCTAAATCAGCTAAGCCAAACGGGCTCTAGGTCTAGATATTTGTAGGGCTTTTTAGGTTAAGGGGTAGGGGCTTGGAAATTATGCGCTAGATCAGAAAATTAGGCCTAAAATAGATCGTTTGAGCCCAAATTTTATTCTTTCCCTGCGAACGAGACTAAAAATACGATCTAATTTATTAACTAATCCTACTTAAGTAAAATAACTATTAAAATAAGACTGACTGTTACAACAAAACTATTTTTGGTATTTTTCAAGATTAAAAATGACTACAAAATATTAATGAAACTATTTTTTTGTGATTTTCATTTTCTTGTAATAAAATAAGTAAAAGAGTCAAAATTAGTTGAAATAACGATTTTAGGCCTAATTAAATATTTACATGCTAAAATATAAAAGATCTTGGGGAGGGTCAAAAATCACATGTCTACAACTGCCCCTCTTTGACTGGAAATACGAAGTATCTTCAGACAAAGAACGACTAGACAGATTTTTTGACCCGACCCTTATTTGGAGAGACTAAATCTAAGAGAAAAGGGGAATGTGACCGAGCCCTGATATCTGAGGTGCCTACATATCCTTGGCTATAAAGGAATCAGGCCACGTGTAGTTCAGAGGTGAGTGAGATGATGGAGTATACCGAGGTGGAGGGCCGGTCGAGGTGCCGTTCCGTTGAGGTTGCGGTTCGCGGTCCTGTTATTACATCAAAAATCAAAAAATAAAAAAGACTAGCTAAGCCTGTCAACTATGAGTTACAAGATTCCTATCTATAAGTCTTCTAAAGTTTGATCTTGAGTCTTGAATGGCTCTTCATGCAGACTCTAGATTTGAACCTTGGCGCTTGTTAGCTGCAGGTGCTAGCTCGCTCTTCTTCAGCTTTCCGGATCAAGATCAGACATGTGGTGCTTATGACTTCAACCACGTCTTGAGCAGTTCACATCTTTCTCTGCTTCTGTATTTTGGCTTCACTATTCTTTTTTTCTGTTTCCCCTCTTTTTTATTCTGGATTAAGACTACTTCTGTTGGTCATCTCGGACTATTGACCCGCATTCTTGCCGCGAGCTTCTTTTGTTGCTGACTTGAATTGCATTCTGAAGTAAATTCCCTTATTCTCCAGGTGGCGCCTGATTGCCAACATTTGAACTGCATTCATTTGTTCTCCGGGCGGGTGCCTGTTACCAAAAC